AAATAGCTTTTAGGAGTTATGGGTGCAGCCTAGATTTTGACATCAGTGTTTTTGGGTAAATCTTTTTCAAGTGCGTTAAAATCATTCCATCTTTCAATTTGATAAAATCAACTTACAGAATATGAATAATACAGAGGGTTTTAATTTTATTAGATTAAGGATGAAATTTTTCGTACTAACTCATCTATATTTTACAAATGATGATCTAAAAACCACCAAGTCGATAATGGCTCTTGTTTTCAATATAAACAAACAGGGACTAAAGGAATTTGATAAACCTGCTAATCTTTCTTAGAGGACTTAACCATGTTTTTTCACGAAAATTAGAAATATAAGCAAAACTACAAACATTGAGTATTTATAAAAACCATACTTTTACGTACGTATAAAAAAATGCACTTAAAAAGCATAGATTTTTGTTTAAAGTTTAGTATTTAAGAATTCATCTTAATTTGATGTTAGGTTTTCGCGGTGAAGGCTTAATCATCTTAAATCTGCAAATTGTTGGGCAATTCGAGATCTTCTAGCATGATTTCATATGTGCAATAAGTTGGCCTAGCGTTTTTAAGTGCACAAAGTTTCATTGTTTTCACTATATCAACTCTATCGATAAAACGAACGCCATTCAATATTTTCTTCGTAATTTTTTTTATGCGAAATCCAGAGAAAATCTCTATTTTCCTTTCACCCTATCAATTCCTATAGAAATATCTAAATTGATGTTTAAAACGGGAGCCGATTATGTCTCGATAAAAGTTAATCCTTTCAAATGGAAGGTTTATTTCTGGTATCTGTGAGACTGATACGTCTTTACTTTCCGAAAGTCGGTGTACGATGATGATCGAGGTAAGAGTAATTTCCCTGTGAAACGGGATCTATGCATGTGTGGAAGTCGAGTAGCGGTACGTTCAATGAAAAAAACAAAATTACCCTTCCAAACGGCCGGGCATAGATTTACCGCGACAAGAATAATTGATATATTGATCAATTGATAGACTACCATATCGGGTATAACGGGRAAATGAAATGAAAGTGACTTATTTCAACGGTTTGACAATATCGACTGCCAGCAAACGCAAATTCGCCACATTTTCGAACAGCARAAATAACTGTAAGTTTAGAGGAATTCCTGTAAGAATTGACAATTTTGAAGAATTTATCAGATRCTTTTGGATGACCAAATAATGTATTAAATCAGCTGATGAAACCATTTTGGCATCGAAAAATGAACATGATCTCTTTTCTAAGCCTGTAAAACTGAAAGCGGACCTCTTTTTCAGTCCCGGCTTGAGCGCAGTCAAAAAAATATGATCGTTCTTTTCGGATACCCTCAAAATAGAAAGAATTCTACTCAAGTTTAAATTCATTTTCATTTCAAAAGTTAACTAATTCTTCTTAGAATTATCTTTTTGCGAATCTAGTTTGGTTGTTTTCAATTTTTGAAGCGCGCGTGCAATTCTTTGAGGCATAAAATCCTTTGTAAACACCATTGGTAGGTTTTCGTGTACTAAGGCTTTATTTAATTGTATATTTGTAAACTCTATAAAGATAACATCTGCAGTGTTGCTAATTGTGATGTGCTCTCTGCAATTGGGTAACTATGGTCAATCTTTTGCTGTGTCCGATATGAAGAAAGTTGATCTCCGCGCGATACTGCCCCTGCATTCAACACATGCAAACATTTGGCTTGTTTATTATGATCTATAGGGCTTAACACTATTTTAAGATGGATTAAACACTTTTACTTCAGAGGTCTTTTTAACAGCTAAAAGAGCTCATTATGTTAAAATTCATTGCTTCACTTCATAGCCTTAGATCCCACTTTTGTAACTTAACCATATCCTAAGCTTCTTTGCGTTGAGAAATACTCTAAAAGGTTAATCCTTTTTGTTCAATTCATTCTAAAATTGCAAAATATAAGAGCGTTTTTTTTATAAAGATAATCATGTCTGAGCGCTTTTTGATAGTACCGCGTTGTTTTAGTTTGTAATGGTCTCTTTGCCGCGGTGCAAAGTAGCTTAATGTTAGCAACGTTCTATAGTGCAATCAGTGTTCGTAAATACAAAGACATCACACAGATATATACATATGCTAATAAGGTTTTAATACACTATAATAATTGTTTTGTGTTTGAACTACATTACTGAGGCAATTTCGTGTGCCCACTGCCTGGGTTACCATTCGATCAAGGTCGAAGTAAAGAGAAAATTAACTTTGACGTTTCTTCAAGGGTTTGGGCGTGTAGAATAAACACACTTTAGTCAAACGCATTACCTTGGGAGCGCGAGAGGGCGACAGTTTGTGTGCTAAACTGTTACTTAGTTGTCGACGCGTATAGAGTAGTTCCATTTGTGCCTCCTTAACTCGCAAGCGCAATAAGTGGTCAAATTGTAAACTTGTCAAAAAGGGGGAAACCGGTTTGTTGAATCAGGCTCAGTTCGAAAATGGTGTCGTTTGAGTGGCGTGCGGGGATTTCTATTTTATGAACCTGCGACTCTTAGCTCTAACAGCCAACTGTAGAAGTAAAATATTTGTTGCCGCTTGTCTTCATGTGTACTTTAACATAAAGACTTCGACTTTTTATTCATATTTCAGTTTGCTTTGCGACTGACTATGGACTTGTTCTAATTGATTCTTAATTACCACATTGTGGACTAGTTTCTATTTTTACATGGGAAATTTCTCTCGCTTTTCGGATGTAACTTTACAATTGATAAAAATCACTACATAGTTTTTGTTTTGTAAAAAAACCCTCCGAATTCTAAAAAAAAAAAAAAAAAAATTAGTGTCATCATTTTCCAGAAATATATCTTTAAATTTTGTAACTGAGAAGTGGTTTTGAATGATATTGGAAAACAAGTTTGACTTTTGACGAAGGTGGCTTCCCCTCTCGGAGATATTAAAGACCAGAGCAATTTTTTTAGGCCCTTTTAGTAGGGTATTGCAATGTAAATGAACTTGATTGTTTAGTTTATTTCTTCATTTATTTTTCATTTTTCATAATTTATGGCAATGAATAGTTTTTGGTACTGTTTTGTGCTGTGTATGTATAATTTAATGTATTTAGCAAAAACATTTTTAGTGTATACACAAGTATTTTTCAATCAAAGTTTTTTAAGTAAAAATAGAAGTTATCCAGATCTAAAGAAGGCTGAAATTTTGAAATCAACAATATTTTGCAAATAAAAACATGTGAATGAAAATCGAAAAGAAATAACATAATCAATATGCAAAATAAAAATGAGACGAAAGTAAAAAAAAAAAATAGAAATAAAATCAATAAAAGATTTAGAWGARGAMMAAAAAAGGCAACAATTSTTAAGCATCATTAACTGACTGATGAATTTTACTTGACAACCSCMRTTTTGAAACCCCAAAGTCCGCCCCCAAACCAAATCCCGCCTTGACCCCTTGTACGTTTCTGATATAATCAAACAACACTGAGTCAACTCTTGACAACGAATCATGATAATATAATCAAATCAAATTCTGTTCAATGCAACATTCCCTTCATAAAAAGCGCTGAAAAGACGTCTGACAATCGTGAACTTGTACCGTTCTTTCTCATTCGCACCCTTCAGAAATATTCCCAGCTGTTGGAACATTATGTTACTAGATTTTTCTTCTCAAAACATGCTCTCATACCAAAGTGAAYCCGGCTCCTATCCACTTATACACAATCACAACAACAATTACATCCTCGCATATAAAAGCTATGGATAAATCCTGACATTAATCCTGCTTCTATTCACTTATCCTCAATCATAACAACAACGACAACAACAACAACAGCAGCAGCAGCAACAACAACAGCAGCAACAACAACAACAACAACAGCAGCAGCAGCAACAACAACAGCAGCAGCAACAACAACAACAACAACGACAACAACAACAACAGCAGCAGCAGCTACAACAACAACAACGACAACAACAACAACAGCAGCAGCAGCAACAACAACAACAACAACAATCATATCACGTCACACATTCGACATTAATGGGTTATCTTACAGACTTAAGATATATCCATCGCTAGTTTAGTTCTATTGAGTTGTTGTTGGAACCATTTTTATTAAAAAATAAGTTGCTGTAAATCTACTAATATTTGAGTCTATTCTTGGACGATCAAAGCTCTCAGGGCTTTTGCCTTTCGTGTTCGTCAATGAAGTTAATATTTTAATTGAGTACCATAATTACCCGTACAATTCGACGTCTATTTTTTAGAATTGCCTCCTGTACCGATACTTTAAAAACCTTTCAGACTATTGTTTTAGCAAATTTGTAGAAATAATGAGTTTTTAGTGGAGCGAAGATGCTTTTTATTTGTTGCTTCAAGCAAATAAAAGGGCTATATATGTACACATAAACACGCACTTTTTGCAATTCGTATTTTTAGGGGGGAGGGGGGAGGAATTCTCTTCTTCTGCCGGCGTAATAAGCAAGGGATAGACAAGGGATAGGTGCGTCTCGATGGAAATACATCTACTTTTTTTTGTTTATTTGTTTGGCTTTTAGATTTCACGAATTAAGTATCTTATAGCTCATAATGCTTGATGGGTTGGATTACATSTCTAGGATATAGGTATAGGTAGCAGWATTTCAATTTTGGGATTTCTKTGRWAAAAAMACAAAGAGGGACAGCTCATTTTGGTCATCATTAACACAGTAACTCYAATTGAKRTTAAAGGGATTGTTTGTGCAGTACCCGAGATAAAGACCCTTGTTATAATGCSTATTTATATAGTAATGGATGGTGAAAATTACACAACGCTGACTCAACAAAACAAAAAATAAACAAATTATTAAAGTAAAATATAAAAAAGGCTGATTTCGATAGTGTTGGCTGACTCGTTTACACTGGGGAGAAAGGCACATCAACATCAAAAATCTTACTATCCGAGCGTGCGCAGTGCGTTTCTCTTCAGTATCGACTCGTTTGTTAAAACACGTGACACAAAATGCATACTATGTTTTAAATTTTCCCATGACCCTTTGCAGGATGCACACAAGAAAAGAGAAGCAAAGACTCTATCAGTAGTGATTCTACTAGTGAAGACAATGAACAAAGTTCTGGAATGACCTCACCAAAACTCTTCAAAGATGATGAGATTCTTCCTCCCAGTAAGACAAACATGCATGAGTTTTTCCGCCGACTCAAAGARAAACTATCACTTAATGTCGATGGGGAAGAAGATGGCTTAAGAGAGTGTAAAGACACTGAAATGACGGCGAGGAAAGGTATTCTCAATGAAGACGGTGAGTCTTCAAGACTAACTGAAGATTTCCTAAAGGAAATGTTAAAAGGAACAAATGAAAAATACCAAGTTTCTAAAGAAAAGAATTCACGCGGAGAAAGTGATAAAATAAATGAAAGTACAAAGAATTTAGAACCACTCCCTAATACCAGCAAAGATGTGTTCACAGGAACAGCAAGAGGAAATTGCTGGCAAAGGTCTTCTTCATCGGACGAAATCGAGTTGGATGAAAATAATTTAGTTTCAAGTAATAACAATAGCGAGTCAGTTAATGAAGAAACGAGGCAAATACCCCCTGAAATTCCTAGGGATTTTGAATCACAATTTAAAATGGTAAAATCCTTGAGTTGCTCAAGCGTCGTGAAATCACCGCTCAGAGATGTAATAGACGAGCCTTCATTGGATCAAAGTGTTAAAGAAGATTCTACGGGAAATCCCAGAAATATTGAAAACGAAGGTAAAGACACAGAGGACATAAGGCGGAAGAGTGAAACCGATTCTGCAGGAATCCCGAAGGACGCGTCTAAAGTTTCTGCAAGCGCGCCAAGGGACCTTGTTGGAGAATATGCTGGTATCTCGAGAGACATTGTTAGAAATCACGTGGACAAACCAAGAGACGCTGTTATAGATTGCCCGAATAATCCAAAGGAGACTTCCAGACATTCTACAGGCATCTCTAGAGAAACAATGGAAGATTCTGCGGGTGTCCCGAGGGTGACTACAGCAGATTCTGCGGGCATCCCGAGCGCAGTTTCACCTCCTGCCCTTCTCTCAGTCTCAGAAAGAAAATATGGGCGCCACGATAGCAGCGCGTTCTCTTCCCGTCAAGACATCGAATTAAAGCAACACACTTACAACAAATCAAGACATGAGGGAATGGACTGGGACCAGAGACACATGGACCGACAAATACACGGTAATGACATCATAATGAAGGATAAACCGATTAATCTGCCTGGACGAATTATTTATGAAGATGACATCATCAAGTCCCCGACTATACATCCAGCGCTGAATCGAAATGTTGATCCCTTTTTCGGACGACTAACGCCTGTCGTAAACCCATGCTACCAAGAAGTGCACCCTTTGACGTCGCCGGTTTTTCCAACCAATCAGATGCCAGAATTGAACCATTTGCCATCAATACCCACAATGCATCGCAGCGTGACAGATCCTGAACTAGTTCGTTACTTAATGCTTCAAAATGGCGCTATGAAAGAACCAATGAAACCATACCAATGGTACAACCATGATACATATGAAAGAAGTGCATATCCCGCGGGATGGGACCCGTATCTCGGGTCGAGGGGATTCTTATCACCATCGCAGGTTTATAAAGAGGGTAAGAACGCTCAGGAAGGTTTCAATGGTACGCGATACAAATGTGGGTTGTGCGGAGCATCATTCTCTCTCCAGAGACTTTTAAACCGACACATGAAGACCCATTCGTTCTACAAGCGATATCACTGTCAGTTTTGTGGCAAAGGATTCAACGATACGTTTGATCT